GGTAAGTGTTTACGGCGCTCGCAACTGCATAAGGTCATATGAGCGCGCGGGACACACCAAACAGGAGAAAGGAGACAATTTTAGAGAAGAAATTTTCCCGTCGATACCCGGATTCAAACCCGGGGTCTTTGAAAGAGAGGCGAACACCTTAACCTTTAGCCTCTAGGCCACCAGAGCCACCTACTAATTGTTTGCTTGCATAAAAGGGTTTAATTTGAGTAATAACAGCTTTATACGGTACTTGCAAAGCAATTAGGTCACATAAATACCGTCGATTAGGTGCGACAAGAGAGTAACAAACACAAAAAGAAGGAAAGATAAATAAAGACGATAGATGAAGTTGTCCGATAGGATAGGATAGGAAAGAAAGAACAAACCACAACAGGGGAGCCGCCAGCCACCCATGATAGATGTTCGATAGGCAAGAAGGAGCAAATCACACCACAGCACCCGCCCATCACCCATTGGAATTGGAAAACTTACCGCCTTGTCAGGTATCTCCTCAAACATGCACTGGAGATGCTCCAGATACAGATGCAGTCGCCCTGTCTTAGGGTTGTACTGTTTGCGGTAACGGAAACGACACCTTTTCTGAACCTTCATGGTCTTCGCACAAACCAAGTAGTTAGTAGATAAAAATCAGCAAAATATCACAGGGGTTTACTTTGATGAAATTATGTTTAAACTTGTTAACCAGAAACGACAACTGGCTACGATAAGAACAAATCCTGACACAAGTGGGGACTTAGAAGTTATAGATCTTATTATAATCCAATAGATCACACGTACTGAGAATATTCAAGAACTTTTAAATCTATACTTCTAAGTGCACAATCAGGACAATTTCAGAAATCCGGATGATAGTTTATCGGCACCTCTGAAATACTGCAGCAAATACACACAACACACAGTCTTTGAACAGAATTTATGCTATCCGCCGGCAGAAATCACGAGTAACCAAAGCACAAGGTTGTCACTGCTACAATCCAAACGCAAAATGAGAAAAACGTTTCGTTTTCTTTCCAAAATAACGCACACAACCAACACGTCTCATGTAAGTTGGGTAGACAAAATGCACAAGACATGCGCGAGCGATACACAGAGGACAGAGAACTATCCACCAACCGCAAGCAATATCACTGTGACACACAATACGATTTGATGATTTTCAAATTACTACAGCCAATCACAGACCGACCAAAAAACCTCTTTGTTAAGTTACTGAATTAAAAAAATTTAATCACCTACAATTATTGTATCAATTGTAACGCGCACGAACACGGCAACTACTTGAGAGTCCACGTAACAGGATTAGACAAACCACAAAGGCCTTGAGGGTCGGGCGGTGCGGGGTTTTTTTTTCCAAGCGTGGGAAAGCTTGACCAATGCATCTTGCAACACAGGTATATTATGTAATAACGTAAGAGCCAAAAATTAGAAGTGTTACTAGAAGTAACACGTAGTTACTAGAAGTAACACGTAAGAACGAGTAGAGATACATATATTAATTAGTTGGGGGGG